CCACGGCTGGGGATTATGGGAGGTGAGGTCCAGGGCAGGAGAGAGGAGGCGGCACCTGGCAAGGGCTGTAAAGGGGCGGGGCCGCTCAGAACGGGAAGAAAACAGCCGGGGGTGGGCGGGGCCAAATGGGGAGGGGCGGGGCCAAATGGGCGGAGCTTCGGTATGCCTCCGCCCTCTCGCCCCCTGACAGACTCACCTCGCCCCGGTTCCGTCTGGGTTTTGCCTCGCACGATCCCGGCTGATAACGATGGCGGCGGTCCCGGCTGCGTCCCGGCCCATCCCGGATGGAAGGGCCCGGCCCCGCAGGCCTCGCAGGCCCCGCCGGCTGTGGACCCGTCGCCGCGGAGGCAGCAACGAGCGAGCGAACGAACGAGCTCCAGAAGCAGCACGGCGTCTCGCGCATGCGCCCCGTCACGCACTTTTGGCCCGGCCCTCAGGAGGGCAGGGGGGACCCTCTGCGCATGCGTTCAGAGGACTGGGGTTTTCTCCCCCCCCCCCAAGGGCATAGAGGGAGGAGCGATAAAATTAGGGATTCGCGACGACTTCGGGGGGCGAGGCAGGAGACTTTCTCCGCTTCTCTCATTTTGCGGGTTGGCCGGAGCGGATGGTTAGTGAGAATAAAACGCGCGTGGCCCCTCGGCCGGAGAGAAGGAACACGAGTGGCGTTTTTCTTCCTCTCCTGAATGGCATTCCCGCTTGCTCCGCAAATGGCGGCCGTGAAATGACATCGGAAGTGACGCTTGCGTGAGCGCGCCTCCTTATGCATCCAACTCTAGGGTGTTCTACTTCGTCCTGGGCCGGGTCCGCGCTTGCGCAGAACGCATGTTGCCTCTCTTGCCCTTTTTTTGCAGGGTTGCAGCAATTCATCAGTCCTGCAGCTGCATTGGGCACCGGCACTCTCCCCGCTCCCTTTTGCAATGCCTCTGGGCATGTGCAAAAAGCCTCGGGTTCTGTTCTTCCTCGCAGACCTTCCAGTCTATCCATGCCACCCACCCTCCCTGCTTGCGAATAATGCATTTTACATATGGTTCTTAGCAAACCCGGGACAACCTCGCAGGATAGTTGTGCACCGACCATGCTGCGGTGGGACAGCGCAATCAAAGAACCGCGTGCAAACTCGGTGGTTACGGGGTTTTCCTTTAACTGCAATTCTGTGCTTTGCTGGTGATTGACAGTCAATAAATGCAATTGCTATCCTTATTTACAATTGCAACACCAATAATAATTTCATGCATGTTTGCTCAGCCTAAATAGAATCTTTTTATTGGCCAAGTGTAGACATTGGACACACAAGGGATTTGTCTCTGGGGCATAAGCTCCTCGGTGTATATATAAGCAACAAGTGGTAAATCATGATCATAGTCATCATGAAATGCAGCATAAATCATAAGATACAACACTTAGTCACAGGATACTAAATAAGCAATCAATATAAATCGAGGATAAATACTAGGATAAGTCCCTCCGCTCCCGTTTTATTCTCCTTTCTATCGATGAAAATATTGATATTCTATATCCTGGTTCTGGCTACCTTAGAATGCAAACCATTGAAGAAGAGTAAATCATCTTAAAACCTAAGAATCTGAAGTACTCTGGCTTTTCAAGACACACCTTGATCTGAAAGTGTTAGATGCAGATCTGAGATTATCTATCTATCTATCTATCTATCTATCTATCTATCTATCTATCTTTATGTATCTATATATATTTATATCTATATATCTATATATAGATCTACATCTACATATATCTAGTCTAGATCTATATCTATATGTATATATATATATACACCTAGATATCTATCTAGGTTATAGATCTCATACACACACACACACACACACACACACACACACACACACACACACATATTTCAGACCACATTTCAAAAGTGCAAAGTGCTCTCGCGGCCCCCAAAATCTATGACTCTACTCTGGCAATGGGATTTCAGTAGCTTATTTCACCTTTATTTCAATGCTTTTCAAAGTTCAGAACTTCCTTGGGACAAAATGAATAAATCCTAAATGAAGACATTGGCCTCTCTTTGTAGACTGAATATCCCATTTTTTTCTGTGGCGGAAAAAAATTTCTTATGAGTTGAATCCTGAACTAATTTACTAGATCAAGTTCTGATTTATTTATTTATTTATTTTGGAAAGGCACAAATCAGTTTTCTATCTTTAAATCGGTTTGCCTGTGTCCACCAGGGAGCAGCCTTTGATTAAAATATGGAACCATCTTTGAAAAAGGAAGCTTCCTAGCCATCTTTTCAGTTTTCTTGCTCCCAAAGCGCATTCATAGCTCATAAATGAACAATCTTTATGGACTGTTCCATATGGGTCAATTTAGGGACCCATATCTTTATCGCTCTGCGTAAACTCTTCCTTGCATTTGGAAAGCTACCTTCTCAAGACGAAAGGATGCCCGCAGAATATTTTCTTGCATTTCTCCTTTAGATCTTTCCGTGCAAAGAAAACACGTTCCCATTTTGTGACAGTGAGAACATTTTGGAAGACCTCACAGTGCAGCTGAGACCAAAGATATGCCATTTGTTAAAAAAGAAAAGAAATATGAAAAATTATGCACGGCTTGGAATCCGAAACCTTCCGAAATATCTGTTTGCCAAAGTGGTAGCAAAAGAAGAATGACGGTGGATGGTGTCATCTGTTCAGGATGGATAACTTATTTATGGCCTTCCTTCTGACAATATTTGCAAAACTTGGCAATCTGCAACTGATGGAGTCCAGCTGCAAGTCCAGCTGGGATCCAGATGTTTCCAAACATCTGTACATCTGTTGCTTTCGAAGTGGGCTTCCATGGCACAGGGGAGAAATGAAGTAGTGAAATTTAACTGTTGCACTTCCCATCTCCTTTTTCTCTCTCTCTACCAAGTTGGCAAATCTTTGGGGCAAATCAATCAAAGACTCTGGAGAGAAGGGCATTTACGGTTAAATATTTCTCTTATGAATATGTAATTTCACTCCGCTCGATAATTTGCAAGTCCTCTTGGAAACTCAATATTGTTCCTGCTAGGAGACAAGCGAAAATTCCCTTGCTGGAAATTGGGAACAGAAAGGCAGGGGCGTCCTTATTACGACGTGGGATGCTTGAAACACACTCAAGACCTGTCTGAATTTCAGGATGGAGTGGAAGAAAATGTAATTTGTCCTGAGCCAGGTGGGCACAGCATAGCCCTCCTTTTCCCTCTGTTTCATTTGGCAGCACACTTCCTTCTTGCACGAAATGGCAGAGGAGTCCTGTCCAAATCACACCATGGCAGGGGAAAAATAATAGAATTCTCCAAGTTTCAGCTACTAAAAAAAAACAAAAAACAGCGCTAGAAGGTTCAATGTGTTCTTCCAAATACTCCCCCATCTTTTCTTGAGCGAAAAAAAGTTAGAAGTTATGAACCTCATCCATGGCCTCTTAGGCTCCTTTAGCTCCTCTTTTCCCTCCAGGCTCTTGGAGTCCTTGGTTCAGGGGCTTAAATTTGGGTGGAGTGAAGGGTTTCCTTTCATTCTTCAGGTTCTTGGACCACTGGTTGAATATTGACTTGTTAAAAGCAAAAAAGTTGACCTTTAAAAAAAAAAAGCATTTCCTTGCTCTGATGACAATTGTAAGATGAACTGGTGGGATTGCACAATGGCTTTTCAGAAGCAAGAAATACCTTTGCCCAAATAACCTTGGCACAAGGAGAATGATTTGGGTTTAGGGTATGAAATGTCTGCAAGGAAACAACCAAGCTAAGAGATCATCAAGGATCCCACAATAATAGATTTATTGCCTCTAGATAGAAAAATATAATAGAGCATCCCTTGTGCTCTTCTTCTTCTTCTTCTTCTTCTTCTTCTTCTTCTTCTTCTTCTTCTTCTTCTTCTTCTCCTCCTCCTCCTCCTCCTCCTCCTCCTCCTCCTCCTCCTCCTTCTTCCTCCTCTTCCTCTTCCTCTTCCTCCTCTTCTTCCTCCTCCTCCCCCTCCCCTTCCCCCCCAACTCATTTCCCTTCTATTACTGATGATAAATTATTAAGAATTTCCAATAAGTACTGAGAAACATAAGGAACATCTTGTTTTGCTCCTATTTTTTGGAAGCTTCAGAGTGACCCCTTGTGGTCAGAAGCAATGGCTGGATTGTTGAGTCTCCCAAATAAAAATTGAGAATATTCAGTGGGAGCTGTACCTGGATGGTTGCTTGGTTCGATATTTCTTTCTGCCTCCTTCTTTGTAATGGAAGAGACTTTGAGGTCTTCTAGCCCAACCCCCTGCCCAAAACAGGAACCCTTATATCATCCTGGACCAAGGGAAAATCCAAACTTTCTTTGCAAACCTTCAGTGTTGGAGAATCCACAGCTTTGAAGACAAGCTGTTCCACTGATCGGTTGTTTTCAACGTCAGGAAATTCCTTCTTAGTTCTAAGTTGCTTCTCTCCTTGGTTAATTTCCATCTGTTGCTTCTTGTCTGTCTTCAGGTGCTTTTGGAGAATAGCTTGACCCCAACTCTTTGTGGCAGCCCCTGAGATACTGGAACACTGCTATCATGTCACCCCTAATCCTGCTCTTCCTTACACTAGACATACCTAGTCCCCTTAACCATTCATCGTATCGTTTAGAAGAAGGCTTTTGAAAGAATCAAAGACCAGCATTCATTTGGCCTCAGACTGGGTTTTCTGAAACAAGGCATCTCCAAATTGTGGTTTACAACCTTACCTTTTTTTTTTTTGCTCATCCGAGCTGACTATAATTTTTGGTTTTGACATAAAGATAGACTGTGGTTAGCAGAACATGGAAGTTTCCTGTTTTCCTGCTCATCGCTGACCCGCAAATAAATGTCTTGGTGTTATAGGATGAATCGTATTTGCTAACCGTAACTCTTGTATTTGGCTGATTCAGCTTTGCCCAGCTTGGTGCCACCCCCCCCCGATGAATGCCTGACACAGTGCCCATAACTGGCAGCCACCAGCCATGTACGAGCCATGCCTTGTCCCTCTGGAAAGTTTAAAAAGGATAACTACTCCCATTTGGTATCATATCTCAAATATGGGAAAGAAATAAAAAAAATAACATTGGCCACACTGTATAAAGAAAATTTATGTTTTACAGGTGGCACATCCCCCTCAACAAAATTAGCTAAAATGTACTCAAATTTATCTCCTGTATGTTGGAAATGCTCCCAGGAAAATGGATTGTATTATCATACATGGTGGACTTGTAGGAAAGTTCAGGATTTCTGGCATAAAATTCAGAGTTGGTTAGAGGAAATGGGTGAAATCAAACTTGAGTATAAACCGGAATTCTTTCTATTGGGAATTAACACAGAGAGATACCATAAAGAAATAATGTATCTAATAATAAACGTGATCACGACTGCAAGATTAGCCTATGCTCAAAAGTGGAAACTCAAGGAAATT